TATCAAAACTTTTTCAAAAAATTGCAAAGATGCACAATTTACAGCATTGCATTCTCTGACATTTCCTGAACTTCACATGCTAAATTTATAACTCGATATAGTATTCCACGCGTAGAAAAAAGAGTGCACTTTAATTTAATATAAAAATCATGAAGATCCCCTTTGCTATAAGTTTAAAAAATATTAAAAGTATATTCCCACGGGAGCAAATCGCAGTTTATTATTAACATGTAGAAAATGTAATGGTAAGTCAAAAATACTAGGTACTATTTAAAAAAATAAATGTAGCCTTAAAAAAACAATAAAAAAGAAATTTTTTTCGATCATTTTTTTATTGCCATGTATAGTCAATTAAAAACACATCAACTTTAGTTTAATGTATTTTTTTGTCAGATTATCGCAAGTACTTGAAAAATTGTGACTAGAGTTATTTGTAGGACACTCTATAAATTAATTATTATAAATTAATTAATTTGACCAACATAGGAACGACAGTAAACCGAAGAATGCACAAAAAACAAATACCACCGCGTTGGCAGAACATCATTTTAAGACAGGACATAATTTGAAATTCGACGAAACCAAAATTTGAGATAAAGAAGATAACTGGTACAAAAGAAATATCAGTGAAMTGTACCATATAACGAACAATAATACAATTAATTTCAGAACCGATACTAATAATCTAAATAGCACATATAACGAAATTTTAAAATTTAATTACCACAACAAGACACGTAACAGAGYTTACAATAAAAACAAAGACATCTAGATTAGGAAACACCAGATTAGAGGTAACCAGTAGTGTTCGAAAAGTTATGGTAGGATAACGGTTTAAAATKGACTCTATATATAAAATAGTAAATACTTATGACTGTAATGAGAAATGATGTTAGATTGACTAGTGAACATAACTATTGAGTTGCTGAGGAAGTCCCAAATATAGGGACGAAACGTTCAACGGATAAACAGATTGTTCATTTAATTTAAACCTGTCCAAAAAAAAAAACATCCCTAAGAATTAAACTTAGTAATAATATACATACTTTTATATAATTGCAGAATAATTTGAGATAAAAAAGTATAATTGATACAAAAATATGAATTGGTTTACCTACCTGTTCCTTTTCGTTTGTTTTCTTTTTTTATTTTATTTCTTAAAAAAATATAAAAAAAAACCCGAATTGTGACGGAACACACTTTTGAAATTTTTGATCGGGAGATTGTCCGATTAAATTTACATTTTTTTTTTCAGTTCGATTAAGTTTGAAAAGGTGCAAGAAATATTAAAAGATGCATTGAACTTTGTGAATCATAAAATGGCATCGTACATTAATTTGTTTAAAATAAGGAACTGTTTAAAAAGGTTTAGGTAACGAGGAAGAATTTACTAACGTGTTTTAAAATGATACGCAAAGTAAATAATAATAATAATAATAATAATAATAATAATAAAGAAAAAAATAAACACAATATGAATAATAATTCTAAATTCGATTTCTCGTCGATTGAGATACAATGATTCCTTGACGATACAAGAACTAATAAACTTACAATACTAAATTGTCTGTTCGTTCACAATAATTAATTATTCGATTAATTAATTATATTCATTCGTAGTTAATTAACTTAATTATTAACTACAAGTTATAATTATATAACTTAACTATTATAATATTTAAAATAAAATGAACGTCGTGTAAAACGCTGCCGTGACAAGTCGGTAAAGTTCGTCGCAGCAGCGGAGCTTTCTTAAAAAAAAAAAAAGAAAAAAAGAAAATTAAAAAAAATAAAAAAAAAAAATATATTGATATATGTATGAATGTGATGTGATTTTTTTTTTTTTTTTTTTTTTTTTTTTTTTTTCAACAAAAGGCTCAGGCTATTGCAACGCACATTTAATATACCTCTTCATCGCAGAAGCATTTAAACTACGATTCACATTTTGTTTTGTTTATCTAATTATATCGAACGTTCTTGAATTATTTCTTGTTTTTTTTTCTTTTCCCTCTTTTTTACACACGCGTTTTACATTCTCTCAAATTTCGTTTCTTATTTCTTTTCTTTTTTTTTTAACATTACTACAACCACCAAATCAGTGAATATTTGAAATATTTCATTTTTTATTAAATAATATTCATTATTAATTTTTTTTCTTAACACATTTTCAACACTTTTGTTTATTTATTAAATTAACGGTAGTTGTATAATATTAACACGTTAATTGTCACGTAAGTTTGACATGTTTTATCATAGAAGTCACACAAATTCTAAGATTAAAAATAAAATATTATAATAATAAGTTACCCACGTGTCAATTAACGTGTGATATTAAAAAGAAAAAGAAAGAGAGAGAGAAAGAGAGAGAGAAAAAAAAAACAATAAATATTTTTCAAGAAACATTCTATAGGTGCCTATGCGAAACGAATAATTTTAACTTTGTTGTTTTGTTTTTTCCTTACTCATTTGCATACTGTCTCATGCGTTAATAACCAAACGACAATTAATTAACGCTGATATTTTTATTTTCAAAATGTCAGGAAGAAAAAAACAGGTTCGATATTGTCGTATAAAAAGAAAAAAACAAGAAGAAAACAGGGAACGATGAAACAAATCTAGATTGGAGTGTTGAGAATTCGGAATAAAAAAAAGAAATAAAAAACACACAGAAAGAAAAGAAAATAAATGGAAAAAAAAAAAGGGAAGAAGGAACAGATCGTATCGATCGGATCGGGCGGCCAGCGAACGATCATCACGAAGTTCACACACACACACACATACACACAAAATTTTCTAACATTGACAAAACGTTAGAATTGAAAAAAGTTCATAGTATTTTATCTATCGATGAAATAATTAATTCAGAGTGTTTCGTCGTTAATTATTATTATTATTATTAAAACGTAATATCGTTTTTTCGATATTTAAATAATCGATTAGTTGTGTTGTAGCAGTAGTAGTAGTTGTCATAGTTGTTGTTGTTGTTGTTCTTGTTCTTGTTGTTAATTATTGAGATTCGATATATCCGACAAAATATTTATTTTGAAAAATGAAAAAAATCTCATCTTAATTCGAACAATTACTATTCTGAGGCAGTTAAGTTGGCAAGAGAAATAGAACAAATAAAGAATAAGAATAAGAAGAAGAAGGAAAAGTAAAGAAACATAATTAACATAATAAGAAATCAGTCGTGTTGCGTAATCTCTCGTTTGAAAATTCCCGCCAATGGAAGCCACACATTTTTATGCAACAAACTTTTTAAGTGTCTTACAAGATTACATTATTCTTATATATATATAT